CTAGCCCTCCCCTCGTCCACTACCCCCTGCCCCCCCTCGCTCACTAGAGGGAGGTAATAAATTGTTGAATAGGGAGTAAGAGGGTTCTACGGTAATTCTGCCTCATTTCGGTTCTGAGGCAGATCAGTTTCATGTAGCTGGCTGATTGACAACATTTCATTTCATACGTAATTTAACCGTAATTTTCGGAAATTACAAGTCAACAAAGAATAACGAACTGCCATAAAATTCGGTATTTAAAAGCAGAATTCAATGTCATAAAATACGCAAAATGAAAACATTAAAAAGTCTACTTTAAAATGGTGCCTGATCAATTTGTGAACGTTGTTTCAATCTTTCAGTTTTCGTCTTTTTTCACACACTGTTCTTTGTTCACCAGAAAACTCATTAGTTACTACCTTGGTTTTTTTCTCGCTAAGAATTCTAGCGAGAACATACGGGGTGGGGTTGAGTGAGTCAACGTGAAGTCCATCACCACTATTAAAAACCCCCCTCTCCAACTACTTCCCCTGTCTAGGCTATCGCCTCCCTCGCATGTAACTGAACTAATTATAACTCAAAGTGGGTGGTTAAACAGAGGGAGTCAAAACTGGGGGGTATAGGAGGTAGATGAGGTGGTGGCGGTAGGGTAGGCTGTTGAAGTAGGGGATTAGGTGGACTAAGTTTTGATTATTTTGTCAATAAAATCGGCTCTAATAGATTTTTAAATATTAAAAGCAATCGATTAGAATCGCCTAATAATCCATTTTCATGGTTGATTTGTCATGCAAAACAAGCAGGCTTACAACAGCCTAATTATGCTAGATTTAAGGCCTGAAAATATTTAGATTTAGTTTTATACAAGTTTGTTTGCGCCATTTTGGGAACCACAAACCTAAAAAAACTCTATAAATTTTCTGCCAAAAAAAATGGAAAAAAATATTTTAAATTTTTTTAGTGTTATTTTTTTGTTCTTCAAGTCATTTTTCTACAAAACATTTTCCCAACTTGCCTATATTACTTTGACTGTCAAATATACCTAAGGTATAGTTTTACGCAAATTCTTTCATCACACCACACAAAAAAAACAGACTATTTTGAAAAAAGACTAGTTTTTTAAGAACTATGGTCGGATTGTTCTGTGCTACTTGCACAAAAACCGGCTGTCCTTATGATTATTGACTTTATTCTATTTCCAATTAACGTTATTTGTGAAAAGACATGAAATAGTACATAGATTTTTCAGAATGTGGATATACCCTTCAAGATAAAACGCTCAAAATTGAGTGATTTGGTGTGTTTTTCTTGACCATTTCAGAACGTGGTTACTCTTTAATCTAAAACGCTCAAATTTAAGTGGTTTGAGATGTTTTCAAGATCATTGCGCTCACAATTTTGCATCAGAAGGACTGCTTTTAACAGTTTTTGAGTGGTTTTTGATGTCTATTCAAAACAGCCTATCAAAAACAGCTGAAGATTCTATTCTTTATCTTCAGCTTAACTTGAAAAACTGCAAATAAACTGCCCTAAACTTGAACGATGTCGAACAACGATTTCAAAATAGCCTATCAAAAACAGCTGAAGATTATGTTTGTTATCTTCAATTTAACTTGAAAAACTGCAAATGAACTGCCCTAAACTTGAACGATGTCGAACAACGATTTCAAAACAAACCGCTGGAAATTGTTCAAATTTTGCGCAATGTTTGAGCTGTTTTTAAAACGACACAAAAACGGCTCAAAAATTTTGCAGAAAAAATTGCTCAGAACAGCCAAAAGCCGCTTCTTATGAAACGAGATTTTGAGTGCAATCACAGAAAACGGCCTGAACCGGTCAATTACTCAAATTTTGCATAAAATTTGGCCTGAAATATTAACTCGGTTTGCGAATCAGTCTGAGTATCTACGGAAGCTCCCGAACTCAACCCAGAGTTTTGTTCCAGGGAATTGACAAACGCTACATTTAGATATTTGATCAAGTACCAGAAAATAACTTCAAATTCTTACTGAAGGAGATGAAAAATAACAGAAGTATGAGTTGGAAAGGTTTTATGAAACACATGAAGCGAGTTGGGCTATAACTGATAGATGATGTTTCACTAGGCAACGCAAACCGTGTTTGTTATAGTCGTGTGCCCATAACATTAATGGATCATAGAGCATACCCGAATTATCAACACCAAAAACTGCCGACAGGTAAAATTATACTGAAATTAGGATCAATTATTATTGGGAATAAATTGAGATCAGTCTTAGTATCACAGAGTATATATTCAACCAAAACTGCAAAAAAGGACGGATTGAAATCAAATTTTAAACAAGACTGCTCGTATCAGGAAGAAGCCCTGAATGTTCCGACTGCCTTTTAAGGTTTATGGAGCAGTAATAACATTAAAAAAATGAAATGAAATAAAATAAAATGAATTTTTTAAATGAAAATCATCACCCCATACGCCATATAAAGTACAAAAGGATAGACTTCGTTCCTTGTAACAAATCAATTATGGCAAATAAGCTTCGTTCAACCAATTTGGAACGATTTCTAAGACGGATTAATTCTCCGCTTACGCGTTAATAGCTCGAATTATATCGCGCGCTAATTGTCCCAAATTGGTCAAAATGGCCAAAATGGCAACCTTTAAACCCTCATAACTTTACGAAAAATGATCACAGGTGAATTATTTTTTCAAATCTAAGCTCAGGACAACAATACCTTACGAATGATATAAAGAAATTCCGTCAAAAATGGCTAGTTATAAAGTCGAAATTTGTCTGAAGAAAAAAAAACCCACCCCGAGCACAAATATTCCGTTACTTTCGTATCCAAAGTCGGAACAATAAAATTAAACTGAATTGAATTGTTATTTTTTTCGACTTTCGTAACGAATTTAACGTAATATTTGTGCTCGGGTTGTTTTTTCTCTTCAGACAAATTTCGACTTTTTAACTGGCCATTTTTTATCATTCAAAAAGTATTCAAGCAGAAAATGGTTTACATTGTTGTTCCGATTTTCGATACGAAAGTAACGGAATATTTGTGCTCGGGGTGGGTTTTTTTTCTTCAGACAAATTTCGACTTTTTAACTAGCCATTTTTGACGAAATTTTTTTATATCATTCGAAAGCCATTGTTGTCCTGAGTTTAAATTAGAAAATATATTTCACCTGTGATCATTTTTCGTAAAGTTATGAGGGTTTAAAGATTGCCATTTTGGCCATTTTGACCAATTTGGGACAATTAAAGCGCGATATAATTCGCGCTATTAACGCGTAAGCGGAGATTTAATCCGTCTTAGAAATCGTTCCAAATTGTTTGAAAGAAGCTTCTTTGCCATAATTGATTTATTACAATGAGCGAAATCTCTTGTTTTGTACTTTATATGGCGTGTGGGGGGATGATTTTCGTAGAAAAATTTTCAAATTTTAGAAAAAAAGTTTTTCATTTTATTTTGTTTCATTTAATTCTTTTATGTTGTTTATGTTATTACCGCTCCAAAAACGTTAAAAGGCAGTCGGAGCTTTCAGGGCTTCGCCCTGATACGAGCATTCTTGTTGAAATGTGTGATAAGTTTTTTTATATTGTGAAGAGTGACACAGCAATCAAGAATGGTGATGTTACAAATAGCTGGAAATAAAATTTTGAGTTATTCGCTGGGATTTCATTTCCATACTTCCATCTTGAGCAATTTCATGCTGATTGATTTTGATTTAATTATCTACGAACGGAATACTGAATGTGGTCTTATGTTTTTGGTTGTTTTTCATTTAATGAATGTTGTAAATTCATGTTTACAAGTGAAAAGGGAAACCAATGTAAGAAATGATCAACGAGAAAGA